GGAGGCTGAGGCAGGAGAATCGCTTGAACCCGGGAGGCGGAGGGTGCAGTGAGCCAGGATTATGCCATTGTACTCCATCCCGGGCTATAGTATGAGACTCTATCTCCAAAAAAAAAAAAAATATATATATATATAAAAATCATTAAAATGAAAACATAATGCAGCAAAAGAAGCAAGACAGAAGGGGTAAGCTTTCTTGCCTACCTTAGTCACACAGAGGCAGTGGCAGAACTGGTATCAGGAACTTTACCTCTACCATCCCTACAATTATCTATCTATATTGTTCGAGACAATGGCTCACTCTGTTGCCCAGGCTGGAGTACCGTTGCACAATGGTGGCTTACTGTAACTTCAGCTTCTCAAATAATTTGTATCTTTGTCACAAATGGAAAGTTAGAGTATCACTTGCTAAGGAGACAGATGAGATCATAGCACACTACAGCCTTGGGTTCCTGGCCTCATGCAATACTCCTGTAGGCAACCTCCGCCTCCTGGGTTCAAACGATTCTCCTGCCTCAGCCTCCCAAGTAGCTGGGATTACAGGTGTGCACCACCACGCCTGGCTAATTTTTTGTATTTTTAATAGAAACAGGGTTAGCCAGGCTGGTCTCGAACTCCTGACCTCAGGTGATCTGCTGGCCTTGGCCTCCTAAAGCGCTGAGATTATAGGCGTGAGCCACTGCGCCCGGTCAGGCACCACCACTCTTGGAGGGCAGAAGTTGGCATCTTGCTGCATTTGCTCAAGGAAGCTCTGTAGGTACTGCTTCCTCACTGTCTTGTTTCCATACTCAGCAACCTTTTCATGACCCATCCCCATTCCTACATTTAATCACACACATCTCAGAGTGCTAGGGCTTTATTACAAATGGAGTTGACTGCTAGAGAGGCCCTTCTCCAATCTTTCTTCTGTACCTTCTTCCCTCCCAAAGACATCCCTGTAGGGGAGGTCAGTAGGCCATTAGGTAGGAGGAAATCTGGAGAGTGAAAAGGGGCACTGCTTTTGTCAACGTCCTCTAAAACAACCACTGAGTCTGAAGGCTGGCTCCAGTTGAGAATCTTCTACTGGAAGAGGTTTAGCTCTCATCTTCAAGGTCCTTCATTTCCACATCCTGGGGAGCTTTTGTCTTCTTTTGCCTTTTGAGCTGTGGTTCACTAGTCCTGGCTGGCTTTGAAGGGGCTTCCACTGAGTAAAGGGAAGAAGGAAGTATTAAACCAAATAAATCCAGGATTCCCCTCACCCACCTCTGTCCCAGCCTCACCTTCCATGGCTGCCTTCTCTTTCTGGGCAAGCCGGATCTGCTGGAGGAGTTTTCTGCGCTTCTTCCCTGACAGAGTAATGTTGGCACGTGCACTGGACCTGATGGGTAAGTGGAAATAAAGATAGCTAGGTTAACCTGAACCATCCGAGGTCACACAAATGGTTCTGGCTATAGAAAAAGTATTAAATAAATATAATACAAATAGTAATAGAAACCCTAAATATTTACATTAAAGAAGCTAATAAAAGGACAAGAAACTAAAAAAAGGATCAGGGGCAGTGGCTCATGCCTATAATCCTAACAGTTTGGGAGGCTGAGGTGGGCGGATCACCTGAGGTCAGGAGTTCAAGACCAGCCTGGCCAACATGGTGAAACCCTGTCTCTATTAAAAATACAAAAATTAGGCCAGGCACGGTGGCTCACGTCTGTAATCCCAGCACTTTGGGAGACTGAGGCGGGCGGATCACGAGGTCAGGAGATCGAGACCATCCTGGCTAACACGGTGAAACCCCGTCTTACTAAAAATACAAAAATTAGCCGGGCGCGGTGGCGGGCGCCTGTAGTCCCAGTTACTTGGGAGGCTGAGGCAGGAGAATGGCGTGAACCCGGGAGGCGGAGCTTGCAGTGAGTGGAGACTGCGCCACCGCACTCCAGCCTGGGCGACAGAGGGAGACTCCGTCTCAAAAAAAAAAAAAAAAAAAGAAAGTAATTAGTGGGATGGGAACTCTTCCTCAAAACACAGGAGGCCTTGAAACTTACAAGTGAAATCCTATGAGTATCTCTGGGAAAACTCACCGAGTTTTACACGCCTATGTGTGCACTTTTCTGTATGTAAAAATAAGTTTACTTATAAAAATCTATGTGAATGTACAATATTACTTGGAAAGTCAACAGATTTCCTGAGATTCGTTTGTGTGTTTTTTTTTTTTTTTTTTTTTTTTGAGACGGAGTCTCACTCTGTCGCCCAGGCTGGAGTGCAGTAGCGTGATCTCAGCTCACTGCAACCTCCGCCTCCCAGGTTCAAGCAATTCTCCTGCCTCAGCCTCCCGTGTAGCTGGGACTACAGGTGCCGGCCACCATGCACGGCTAATTTTTGTATTTCTAGCAGAGATGGGGTTTCACCATGTTGATCAGGCTGGTCTCCCGATCTCTAGTGATCCGCCCGCGTCAGCCTCCCAAAGTGCTGGGATTACAGGCGTGAGCCACCGCCCCCGGCTTTCCTGAGATTCTTAACAGAATCCAAAACCCAAAGAAAGGTTGTCTGCTACAGGTATTGTGAGAGGCTAGCAGAGCTTAGGAACTAACAGACAGACATTCCCCGCATAAGCGTCAGTGCACAAGGAGGTGAGCTGAGAGGTGAAGCTGCTCCGGAGCTCTGCAGGGAGGAGGGAAGACTCGGTGGGGACGACCAACAGGAAGAGGGTCTAGTACTCACGCCCGCTTTTTGAGGTGGTGCCGCGTGATCAGCCCTTGGTCTATCACAGCCCCGACCACCCGGTGCCTCAGACGCCGCTCCCGATTCAGCACCCGCCGGCGTTTGAACAGCTTCTTCTTCAGCTCCTACTGGGGAGAAAGATGCGAATCAGATAGAGTGGGCTCACCGCGACCCCGGGCCGCTCCACGAGGCAACCCCGGCCACCCATTGATCCCATCTTGTGCGAGATAAACGGGCTCGGGGACACTTCAGGAAACAAAGTCGCGGCCCCCCCAGAGTCACCGTTCGGGGCCGGTTGATCTTTCCCCCGGGAGCTCCCATAGCTGCGATGCCACGCCAGTTCACTGTCCGTACTTCCGCTCAGCGCGGGATCCGCGTGGCTCCGCCCCGGCCTTCCGCGGGCCAATCGCAATCCGGGGGCGGGTCCTTGGCCTATATAAAGGAGCTCCGCAGTGCGCAAGACCTTTTGGAGGGAGGTGAGCGAGTGAGTGAGGTTTCTGTGTAGTAGCCGGATTGGGCGGCCGGGAGTGGCGTGGGTGTCGGGCGGAAGGCTCTGAGCGAGGCCTCAGGATCCTCCTTTTCTTGGCGGGGATCGGGCTTGTGGTACCGCTCCCCGTAATGTGCGGAGGAAGAGGAAAAGGGCTCTGGCCCCCTCGGCGTCATGTCTTCGGTGCCGGCGGCTTCCCATCCGCTGGTTCTATCCTCAAGCGCCGGGACACCGGGAATCTCGGACCGGCACAACCGAGATCCAGCTGGCTCCTCCATGGGGTTGCTCACGTGTTCTCATTTGATTTCAGGTCTGCGGACGCTGTATCCCCTCTTCCACTTCCCGCTGCAGCCAATAAAGGCCGTTCCTACCATAGTCTGTGTCCGCGTTCTTTCTCCCGAGACTGCAGAGTTTGGGGAAGCTGTATGCTGCCTTTCGCTACGCGGAATTTGCAGATCTTCCCCTGGACCTCAGGCCTCTGGTTGGAGTAGGGTGGACGCTTCACACAAGGTTCTCTGGTCGAACTTAACGAAGCTCCAGATGGCTGCGCTGCGTCGAATGCTCCACTTGCCGAGCCTGATGATGGGGACGTGCCGCCCCTTTCCGGGTAGGGAGGTGGGGGCAGAGTAGGGAGGGCAGGGTGGGTTCCTTGTGACTCAGGAGTGTAGTCCCTGAAATTGTGGTTCTCAGACCCTGCGGTGGCTCACGGCTGATACCCTAACACTTTGCCAGTCTGAGGTGGGCAGATCGCTTGGCCGAGGAGTTCGAGACCAGCCTAGGATAACATAGCGAGACCCCCGTCTACAAAAAAATTAACCGGGCATGATGGCGCCTGTAGTACTAGCTACTCAGGAGACTGACGTGGGAGGATCACCTGAGCCCAGGAAGGGGAGGCTTCAGTGAGCCATGACTGTGCCACTGCACTCTACCCTGGGTCACAGAGTGAGACCCTGTCTTAAAAAAAAAAAAAAAAGACCCCAGTGTGTATATGCGCCGTTTTTGCAGTGGCGAGATAGACCGAGTGACACCCTCCAACCGTGCCCACAGACTCACTGGCTGGTAGCTGCCTGGCGGACCGCTGTCTCTGGGATCGGCTGCATGCCCAGCCCCGTTTGGGCACTGTCCCCACCTTCGACTGGTTCTTTGGATACGAGGAAGTCCAGGGGCTCCTACTACCGTTGCTGCAGGAGGCACGGGCTGCCATTCCTCTGCGGGTGCTGGATGTGGGCTGTGGGACCTCCAGCCTATGTACAGGCCTCTACACCAAATCTCCACACCCAGTGGATGTGTTAGGGGTGGACTTTTCTCCTGTGGCTGTGGCCTACATGAACAGCCTCCTGGAGGGTGGCCAAGGCCGAACACCTCTATGCCCTGGGCACCCTGCCTCCAACCTCCACTTCATGCACGCCGATGCCCAGAACCTGGGGTCTGTGGCTTCTTCAGGCTCTTTCCAACTACTGCTGGACAAGGGCACCTGGGATGCTGTTGCCAGGGGAGGTCTGCCTAGGGCTTACCAGCTGCTATCAGAATGCTTGCGGGTTCTAAACCCTCAGGGGACCCTAATTCAGTTCTCGGATGAGGACCCTGATGTGCGACTGCCCTGCCTGGAACAAGGGTCCCATGGCTGGGCTGTGACTGTGCAGGAGCTAGGCCCTTTCAGGGGCATCACCTACTTTGCTTACTTGATTCAAGGCTGTCATTAAAGACATTTTAGTAGTCCTAACCCTAGTATTTCTGTGGGCAAGGAGAGGGCTGAAGAACTATTGTCTTTGCAAGCTAGCTGGCTGCAAAGCGAGTCCTGGCTTCCACATTTACTAGCTGGGTACCATATTGCTGAATGTTTCTGTTCCCCAGTTTACTCATCTGCAGAGTGGGAATAATCTGGGGTTACAGAGATTGCATACAATGATGTGTGCAATATTTAGCACAAGATGAATGCTGAAAAGAGAAGGTACAAGTGGGTCTTTCCCCAGTTTCAATTAACTGGAGCTCCTAAAAGCAGCAGACAGGAACTGAATCCAAACCCCGGCGCCGACTGACTTGTATAATCTAGTGGCCTAAACTGTAAGCCTCATTTTTCTCACCTGTAAAAGGAGATTGTGAGAGGATGGGTATAAGGAGCTTCATAAACCTGGATGAGATGTTTGAGAGGGAGGGAACAATGCTTACCCTCAAAGCTATTAGGAGGCAGGAGACAAGAATATTCCACAAAGTCACTTCAACAAACACAGGAGCCTGTTGCTGAGTCCCAGAAGGGACAGTGGTTGGTGGCTTCCAGACACTTAGTGTCCTCAAGAATCCAACAAGCATCTTCATCATCCTGGTCTGCCCCCAGCTAAGTCCAGCGTTAAGTGTTCTGTGGGCTCCAAGCCCAGCCTGGCATGGAGGAGGAGAAGGGAGAAAAATATTACTGATATATTATCAAATTACAAAACTGGCTCATTCCTATAATCACAGCACTTTGGGAGGCCAAGGTGCTGAGTCCCAAGAGTTTGAGCCCTGGCAATCAAGTGACACCCCTAACTACAAAAACAAATTAGTCAGGGATAGTGGCACAGGCATGTAGTTCCAACTACTCAGAAGGCTGAGCTGGGAGGACTGCTTGAGCCCTGGGAGGTTGAAGCTGCAATGGGCCGTGATAAGCTGCTGCACTCGTGCTAAAAATTAATGTGGTATTCTTTGCTTATGAAAATATAGAGCAATTTTATCACTAAGAGCCTAACCTCGCAGCCTCAATTTTCTCATTTATAAAGGGGAAGTACCTTCATTGAGTTTTTCTGAAAATCATGAAGTAAAAGTGTTTAGCATAGTACCTGGCACATAGTAAATGCTCAAAAAAATGTAGCTTCTTGGGAGGCTGAGGCAGGCAGATTTCCTTTTTTTTTTTTTTTTTTTTTGAGACGGAGTCTAGCTCTGTCCGCCCAGGCTGGAGTGCAGTGGCCGGATCTCAGCTCACTGCAAGCTCCGCCCTCCCAAGTTTACGCCATTCTCCTGCCTCGCCTCCCGAGTAGCTGGGACACTAGGCGCCGCCCTCGTCCAGCTAGTTCTTTGTATTTTTTTTTAGTAGAGACGGTTTCACGGTGCGGATCTCAGCGTGTAGCGCTGATGGGTGTCTCGATCTCCTGACTCTTGACCTCGTGATCCGCCCGTCTCAGCCTCCCAAGTGCTGGGATTACAGGCTTAGCCACCGGCGCCCGGCCTTTTTTTTTTTTTTTTGAGACGGAGTCTTGCTCTGTCGCCCAGGCTGGAGTGCAGTGGCCGGATCTCAGCCCTGCAAGCTCGCCTCCGGGTTGTATTTCGCCATTCTCCTGCTCAGCTCCGTAGCTGGGCGGACTACAGGCGCCACCAGCTCGCCCGGCTAGTTTTTGTATTTTTTAGTAGAGCCGGGTTTTCACCGTGTTAGCCAGGATGGGTCTCGATCTGCTGACCTCGTGATCCACCGTCTCGGCCTCCCAAAGTGCTGGGATTACAGGCTTGAGCCACTGCGCCCAGCGCAGGCAGATTTCCTGAGCTCGGGAGTTGAGACCAGCCCGGGCAATGGTGAAACCCTGTTTATACTATAAAATAACAAAAAAAAAAAAATAGCCAGGCGTGGCATGGCGGTGTGAGCCTGTAGTCCCAGTCCTTGGGAGGCTGAGGCAGGAGAATTCCCTTGGACCTGGGAGGCGGAGGTTGAGTGAGCCGAGATCTGCCACTGCACTGCAATCTGGGCGACAGAGCATGACTCTGTCTTTGAAAAAAAAAAAAAAAAAGTAGCTTATTTAACAGTACACAGACGGGCTGGGCACGGTGGCTCATTCCTAGTAATCCGCACTTTGGGAGGCTGAGCGGGCGGATCACAAGGTGAGGCGATCGAGCGATTCCTGGCTAACACGGTAAAACCCTGTCTCTACTAAAAATACAAAAAATTTGTAAAAATACAAAAAAAAATTGCCCGGCCTGTCTTGGGGTAATTTTATCTTTTCCCGTAGCAATGTAAATATTTTGAAAGTACAGATTAAGGCTGGGCGCGGTGACTCACGCCTGTAATCCTAGCACTTTGGGAGACCAATGTGGGCAGATCACGAGGTCAGGAAATCAAGACCATCCTGGCTAACACAGTGAAACCCCGTCTCTACTAAAAATACAAAAAATTAGCAGGGCGAGGTGGCGGGTGCCTGTAGTCCCAGCTACTTGGGAGGCTGAGGCAGGAGAATGGCGTGAACCCGGGAGGCGGAGCTTGCAGTGAACCAAGGTGGCGCTACTGCACTCCAGCCTAGGCAACAGAAGGAGACTGTCTCAAAAAAAAAAAAAAAAAGAAAGTAAGTACAGATTAAAGGATGGCACCCATTCTGATACCAGAACTGCTCTCTATAATTCAACTTTGCCAACTGCCTTGATTTTTCTCTCCCACATCTTCACATTTATTGAGCACCTGCGGTGTGCCTGGCACTGCGGAATGCAGGGGTGATAACTGACTTCCATCTTGGCTCTGCCCAGAACATTCAGATCACAGTGGCCCCCTGAATGAGCCACCTGCCTCACCTGGCTCTTCACTTTGGTCTTGGAGGAAGGCCTCAGCATCCTCTTCCTCACCATCAGTGAGCAGCAGCAGCTCCTCATGGGGCCAATGGAGATCCCCACTCTCTTCATTCACCTCAGAGGCTTCCACCACAATAGACAGCAGATGGAACTTTTGAGAGAAATCCTGAATAGGGACAGCAAGGAGGTTGGGCCAAATTGGAGGGTAAGCCAGCTGCCAGACACAGGGTGGGGAAGTATAACCTGAATATGCCAGTGACCTTCAACCTTGCCAACTTTTCCTCTGTCCCAGAGAGGGTTGGGCAGCCTGGGACTCTGGATGCTGGGAGGAGCCTGGGCTATTTGTAGTCCAAAGCCCATCCTCCTTGCTTCTCCCTGGCACAAGGGCCATGGTGGTGATTCTTAGAGTGCAAGATGATTGAACTCAGAGGAGGGTATTCCTGCCCACAAACTGTTCCTTTAATCTTCTTTGGAACCTGGCACCTTAAGCTCTGACTGTGCTAAGTGATTATGGGCTTTCAGGGGAGGGGAAAATGCCCAAGACGTGAGATCGGATCTTTATTTCTACTTACTCCCTGGAGACACTGGGATGGCAGCAAGGGTAGGAGACAAGGGCACCTGGATTAAAGCCCTGTGGGCCAAGAGTTGTGATAACCAACTTGGAATTTCCTGACTCCTTTGCTTACTGATTTTCCCAACCTGGCATGTTTGTATGTTATTTAATGAATATTTATATGGTGTTTACTCTTTGTCAGGAGCTGTTTTGCTTTACATATAACTCATTTAATTCTCCTAAAACTGTGAGACAATTACTGTTATAAGCTCATTTTCTGATGCAGAAACCGGGGCACAAGAACTTGCCTGTAGGCCGGGCGCGGTGGCTCAAGCCTGTAATCCCAGCACTTTGGGAGGCCGAGACGGGCGGATCACGAGGTCAGGAGATCGAGACCATCCTGGCGAACACGGTGAAACCCCGTCTCTACTAAAAAATACAAAAAAAACCAGCCGGGCGAGGTGGCGGGCGCCTGTAGTCCCAGCTACTCCGGAGGCTGAGGCAGGAGAATGCCATAAACCCGGGAGGCGGAGCTTGCAGTGAGCTGAGATCTGGCCACTGCACTCCAGCCTGGGCGACAGAGCCAGACTCCATCTCAAAAAAAAAAAAAAAAAAAAAAAAGAACTTGCCTGTAATCAGTCACACAGCTAAAAGGTGTTTTCTTCTGTAAAGCAGAATTCAGTATGTTAAACGAATCCAGCCTTTTAGTTGAAAACAAAGCAAAACAGCCAGGCACGGTGGCTCACACCTGTAATCCCAGCACTTTGGGAGGCCGAGGTAGGCGGATCACGAGGTCAGGAGCTCGAGACCAGCCTGACCAACATGGTGAGACCCCGTCTCTACTAACATTACCAAAAATTAGCCAAGATCCTGCCCCTGTACTCCAGCCTGGGTGACAGAGTGAGACTCCGTCTCAAAAAAAAAAAAAAAGAAAAAGAAAAAAGAAAACAAAGCAAAACAAAAAACAATACCAGCCGGGTGTGGTGGTGCACGCCTGTAATCCTAGCTATTCGGGAAGTTGAGGCAGGAGGATCCCTTGGGCCCTGGAAGTCGAGGCTTCAGTGAACCATGATCGCCACTGCACTCCAACCCTGGGCGACAGAGCGAGACCTTGTCTCCAAAAACAAACAAAACCACGCCCACACACTAACAACAAAACCAAAAAAGCCCTAGACAATACCAAGTGTGTACCATAACGAGAAAAGGAACAGGTTGTTTGTAAAATAAATGTTAAAGATAAGTTACTATTACCCATTTCTCCAACCAGTACACTTGACTTTCAGTGTTTGTTCCAGAGTTGAGGGGATGGAGAGGGATATGTATGTGTATGACCTCCATTCGCTGTGTTGAAAACGCGCGGGTGACTGCAGGAAACCACAGAGCACAGCTCGGGCCTCTACTGATCAGGAAACGTCGGAACACAGAAAAATGGGCAATCATAAAACCCACGGCAACCATGAAGACACGCACTCTCCCCCTAGCAATCCCACCCCGGAACTGAGGACACAGGGTGCCCACGCTCAGCCCTTGGCGCCAGCACTTCTTGGACACCCTCAACCCCCTCAGCTAAACCTGAGATCCCGGCGCTCCGGATTCTAAACGTTTCCTTGAGCGGGTCCTCTCTAGCCGGCCGTTTATCTATGGTTTCTGCTATAGGGCGCTCTAGCCTGCGCGAAGGGGCAGTGAGACCGCGCGGGTACGGCTCGCGGCTGCGGTGAACTCCGGTGGGCGCCCTGCTGGTTGTGCAGGCGGCCATGGAGTTCTTGCGGAAAACGCTGATCACAGTCGCAGTGCTGGGCGCAGGGGCTGGCGTGGGCTTCGCGCTCCTTGCTATCGTGACCCCCGGAGAGCAGCGGAAGCAGGAAATGCTAAAGGTAGAAGCAACTGGTAATCCCGAGGATGGGTGGGCGGGTGGAGAGCCCCGGACTGGAGCTCCTGCGAACTCCCCTTCCTGCCCTCAGGAGATGCCACTGCAGGACCCGCGGAGCAGGGAGGAGATGGCCAAGACCCAGCAGCTATTGGTGGCCACTCTGCAGGAGGCAGCGACCACACAGGAGAACGTGGCCTGGAGGAAGAACTGGATGGTTAGCGAAGGCGGCGCCGGCGGGAGGTCACCGTGAGACCAGACTTGACCTTGTGGGCGCTGGGACCTTGGCTCGGGCGCAGGAATCCGATGCAGGCTTTCTCCTTCGTGGGCCCAGCGGGGAGTCCGGCCGAGATGCCATGCCCAGGACTCTCCAGGGTCCTGTGAGCTGCCGTCGGGTGAGCACGTTCCCCCCAAACCCTGGACTGATTGCTTTAAAGTCCGCAAAGCGGGCCAGGGCCGAGACGCGAGTCGGATGTGGTTAACTGAAAGAATCAATAAATCATGTTCCTCCACCCAGAATGAGCCCTGCAGTCGACACCTACCAATGCTTAAAGACCTGTGGTCGGTGCTGGGGGCATGGCCTGCACCTGCTACCTGTCCCATCCCACCAGAAGAAGCTGCTCTCAACAGGTATCTCGACCACATTCTCTTTTTCTTTTCTTTTTTTTTTTTTTTTTTGAGACGGAGTCGCTCTCTGCCACTCAGGCTGGAGTGCGGTGGCACGATCTCGGCCCACTGCAACCTCTGCCTCCCGGGTTTAAGCGATTCTCCTGCCTCAGCTTCCCGAGTAGCCGGGATCACAGGCGCGCACCACCACGCCCAGCTAATTTTTGTGTTTTTATTAGAGACAGGGTTTGACCATGTTGGCCAGCCTGGTCTCGAACTCCAGACCCAGGTGATCCGCCCGCCTCGAACTCCCAAAGTGCTGGGATTACAGGTGTGAACCACCTCACCCTGCTGCGGCCACAGTTTCTATTTCTTTTTTTTTGAGATGGAGCCTTGCTCTTGTTGCCCAGGCAGGAGTGCAGTGGCGCAATCTTGGCTCACTGCAACCTCCGCCTCCTGGGTTCAAGCTGTTCTTACTTAGCCTTCCAGGTAGCTGGGATTACAAGCGTCCGCGACCACGCCTGGCTGATATTTGTAGTTTTAGTAGAGGCGGGTTTCACCATGTGGCCAGGCTGGTCTCGAACTCCTGACCTCAGGTGATTCACCCGCCTTGGCCTCCCAAAGTGCTGGGATTACAGGCCTGAGCCACTGCACCCGGCCAACCACATTTTCAAAACAGGTCATGTGGTGTCAGGTTGGAGTGTACTTCCCGGGATAACCGTGGGACATTCCTGAAATCTGAACTATCCTGGAAAATCTTGAAGTAATGGATGCCTACAGAGGACACTCAGGACTCCTGTCCTTGGAGCGAGATAGGAGGAGCATCTAGCACTTAACATATGCCGCAGTGCTTTCTGTGCCCGTTATTTAACCTCTGGTTAAACAAGCTTAGGAGGCTGACTTACTAGAAGTAAAAGGAGTGTGCTTTGAGTCACAGATCTTAGTTCAACTCCAGCATGTTACAAACCTCAGTCCTGTTCTCTGAAAGGTCATAACTATGAGGATTAGTGTAAAAAATTAATTTAGAAATGTAAAGTGGTCTCCAATCTCTGAATCCGGTCAGGATTTATTGGAGTTGCCACTGAGAGGATGAAATAAGTGGGGTCAAAGCCCCACAGCCTAGCCAACCAAGTTGCTCTTGTCTATCCTCTGGTTCCCAAGCAAGATTGCAATGGAAAAAAAGGCTGCTGTTTATTAAAGTCAGAACACCAAATAAAGCTTTTCTTTCTTTTTCTTTTGAGACAGAGTTTCTCTGTTGTTGCCCAGGCTGGAGTGCAATGGAGCTATCTCAACTCACTGCAACATCCACCTCCCAGGTTCAAGCGATTCTCCTGCCTCAGCCTCCCAAGTAGCTGGGACTACAGGGGTGCGCCACTACGCCAGGATAATCTTTGTATTTTTAGTAGAGACAGGGTTTTGCCGTGTTGGCCAGGCTGGTCTCGAACTCCTGACCTCAGGTGATCTGCCCGCCTCGACCTCCCAAAGTGCTGGGATTACAAGTATGACCCACTGTGCCTGGCCCCAAATAAATCTAACACTGGGGTATAAACCCAGATATGAGCATTGGTGCTCTTTTCAGATCTTTACAGAGTTACTGTGTCCTCTCCCCTAGCCCAGGAAGGAGAGGAGGAGTCAGGAGCAGTTTGACAGGACACCAGGGTGGGGTGATCAGCAGCTGGAGGGGCTATCAGAGAAGCTCATCAGTGCTTCTTGGTTTTAAAAAGCAGAGAGAACGCCAACACGTGAGACCCTGTATCTACTAAAAATACAAAAATTAGCCGGGCATGGTGGCGCATGCCTGTAGTCCCAGCTACTCGGGAGGCTGAGGCAGCAGAATCGCTTGAACTCAGGAGGCAGAGGTTACTGTGGGCCGAGATCATGCCACTGCACTCCAGCCTGGGCGACAGAGCAAGACGTTGTCTCAAAAAAGAAAAAAATTACCCTTTTAGCCCAGGATTTTGGGAGGCCGAGACAGGCAGATCTTGAGGTCACGAGTTTGAGACCAGCCTGGCCAACATGGTGAAACCCCATCTCTACTAAAAATATAAAAAATTAGCCAGGTGTGGTGGCGCACACCTGCAAACCCAGCTACTAAAGAGGCTGAGGCTGAATCGCTTGAATCCGGCAGACGTTGGTTACAGTGAGCCGAGATCACACCACTGCACTACAGCCTGGGAGCTAGAGTGAGACTCCACCTCAAATAAGTAAGTAAAATTATCCTTTCAGTAGCTAATGCTTACTGGGGATTTATTAGGTACTAGGCACTATGCTAAAGCATCTTACACCAGCATTATGTAACCCTCATGACAATCCCAAGAAACAGGCACTATTATCCCTATTCTATTAAGAAGCTAGGTTTTCTGGGTGAGATGTGAAATAACTTAAATGACATCACTAAGGTAGCAAAGCTGAAGGAAAAGTGTAAGAAGGATGTCGCTGACCATAAGTCGAAAGGAAGGTTTGATGGTGCAAAGGGTCCTGCTAAAGTTGCCTGGAAAAAGGTGGAAGAGGAAGATGAAGAGGAGGAGGAGGATGAATAAAGAAACTGTTTTTCTGGCCAGGCACAGTGGCTCATGACTGTAATCCCAGCATTTTGGGAGGCAGAGGTGGGCGGATCACTTGAGGTCAGGAGTTCAAGACCAACCTGACCAACAAAGTGAAACCCTGTCTCTACTTAAAAAAAAAAAAAAGGGGGCATGGTGGCGCATGCCTGTAATCCCAGCTACTCAGGAGGCTAAGGCAGGAGAATCGCTTGAACCCGGGAGGCAGAGGTTGCAGTGAGCCGAGATCGTTCCATTGCACTCCAGCCTGGGCAACAAAGCGAAACTCCATCTCAAAAGAAAAAAAAACTGTTTATCTGCCTCCTTGTGAATACCTTAGAGTAGGGGAGCCCCCAGTCGACACATCTCGTATTTGAGAAGTGTGTTGCCCTCATTAGATTTAATTACAAAATTTGATCATCATATTGTATCATCTCTCAAAGTGCTCTAGAAATTGTCAGTGGTGGCCGGGCACGGCGACTTACGCCTGTAATCCTAGCACTTTGGGAGGCCGAGGCGGGTAGATCACCTGAGGTCAGGAGTTTGAAACCAGTTTGGCCATCATGGTGAAACCCCGTCTCTACTAAAAATACAAAAAATTAGCTGGGCATGGTGGTGCGTGCCTATAATCCCAGATACTTGGGAGGCTGAGGCAGGAGAATCCCTTGAACTCAGGAAGTGGTTCGATACCGTACCACTGCACTCCAGCCTGGGTGACTGAGCAGGACTCCATTTCAAAAAAAAAAAAATTCTCAAATTCTCAGTGGTTTACATGAAGTGGCCATGGGTGTCTGGAGCACCCCGAAGCTGTATCAAAGTTGTGCCCATTTCCAAACATTTTTAAAATGAAAAGGCACTCTTCTGGCTGGGCGCGGTGGCTCATGCCTGTAATCCCAGCACTTTGGGAGGCTGAGGCGGGCAGATCACAAGGTCAGGAGATCGAGACCATCCTGGCTAACATGGTGAAACCCCATCTCTACTAAAAATACAAAAAATTAGCTGGGTGTGGTGGTGGGCACCTGTAGTCCCACCTACTCGGGAGGCTAAGGCAGGAGAATGGCGCGAACCTGGGAGGCGGAGCTTGCAGTGAGCCGAGATGGCGCCACTGACTCCAGCCTGGCCCACAGAGCAAGATTCTGTCTCAAAAAAAAAAAAAAAAAGGCACTCTTGTGTTCTCAATAAATAAATAAAAATGAAAAAGCAGCAGCAGTTGGGCTTTTATGTTCCGTCTTACCATAGGAGTAAAAGGTGCCATCCAATGTACTCTCCACTCCTTTTAGCACCTCTCCTCCTCAACTTCCCCAGCAGTTAATCAGACCCAGAGATTAGAAACAAGTGTC